CCTGCTGGGAATGCCTCACTCCAAACAGAAATCTTCAGCTCTGGGAGTGATTTCAGTTTATGAATTACACAGCAGTGACAGGACAAAAAAAAAGAAAAAAGGGCTCAGAGACACAAGATCATTAAATCAACCACCTCCATCTTTTCTTAGCAGTGGAATTTCTCAATGAGTCAGCCAAGAGGTGGTGGATGAGGGAGGAAGACACATCTGTTCAGATGCAAATAGCTTGGGGATCTATTCCTTGAAGTTTCCTTCTCTGCACAAAGGAGCTCCCTACTCAACCTGTCTGGATGTGTTGTCTGCTGTGTTGACACTGTTCCTCCACCCCTTCCTCCCTCACTTTGAATCCATCTGACAAGGAGTGGCAGAGAAAAGTTCTCCTCTGCTGTCTGAGCAAAGGAGCCTCAGAAAGAGAAGCTCTAGCAGTGACCCAGCAGGAAAATGCTGCAATGGAGTTCAGTTGCCACCAGTACTGGATAATCTGGATGTGACTCTTCCTGCTTGACACCAAACCCAAGTAAAACCAAACCAGCTCCAGGCCTGAAAGAAGCACCTGCTTGCTTGGAGAGCCTTGGAAGGATCACATGTGTTGGGGATGGGAGTGTTGTATCCCCAGGAAACTCTCAGGCCTCAGTTTTGTGGTTGCTTCCAAGCTGGAATATAGATTCCATAGAAAGATCCAGATGTGCTGCACATTGTGTGTCACCAACCACCTAAGGCAATGTGTTAACACCAACAACTCTGTCTGACACTCACCTGCATGGTTTGTCCTTGGAGATAAAGTCTCTCTTTACACACTCCTTCGTAGAAGTCATAGTATTCCATGAAGGATTTCTCCATTACTCCCCTGAATACAAGGAGAGAGCAACCAATCAGTGTGACAACATTCACATCATGCAGGATCATTCCATCCCACTAATTCCAGGTCATGTAGTTGTCTGGGACACCCTGAGTGTCCCTAAGAGGGGACAGAGCCAAAGGAGCTGAAGGGCTCCTGCCTGTGCTTCCCCAGCAGCTGTGCTCTCCTCCCTCCAGGGTTTTTTTTTTCCCCAGAAGACAAGGCACATTTATTCCCAAAGCCCAGGCAGAGGACACAGCTATTGTGCACAAACAGCCTTTGTCACATCCTGGGCACATCACCCACCCCAGGGGGAAATCACTTTGCTGAACCAGGCAGAGCACCAATCTCAGTAATAACAGCCAGGAGCACATCTTGCTTCTCCACACACACTTCCCACACTCCTTCCATGCCTCTTTTCCATACCTTAATGGCTCAGGACAGGGACATTTTCCTTCCAGCATGTCACACACTGCCACCCGGATGGTCTCGTGCCGAATGCACTCGTTATAGTTCTTGCTGTCCCCAGGGTGTCTCTCCTGGAAGCAGAATTGGGGCAGTAAATCCACATCAGTGCCATGACTCTTCCTCTCTCCCTTCATCCCTCCCTCCTGGGCCTGGCAAGTTTCACTGGTGCATGAAGCCCTGACAGCTCTGTCTGCTCGTGGTGTGCTGAGCTAATTTCTCCAGCTAAGTTGGCAAGATTTGATGTCTCCAAAGCTTTGCACTCACACAGGGTGGAGACAGGTCAAGTGAAAGAGTTAGAACACAATACTGCTTCTTTCCAAAGTGCTGGAGAGCATGGAAACCTGAGCAGTTTGGTTCCTGTAGGACAACATGTCCCATGGAAGCCATAAAGAACCATTCCATCTCCTCCTGTTCTTCTCTTACCTTCCACATGTGTGAGCTCAGCAGCCTCTGGCTCAGAGCTGCCTTGCAACTCCACCCCCAGCTCTGCCAGGAGTGAGCTAAGAAAGAGCCAAGTGACATCCCCAACTTTTGGCCCCATTTCCAGAATGGGATTTGCCACCAGGAGCCAAGTGTGGAGGGCAGAGGTGATCCCCCTGCAGCTCTCACCTGCTCAAAGCCAGGCTCGTTGTGGTAAGGGTTCTCAGTCATCAGGGACTGGATGGAGATGAGGACTGAGGAGATACTCTGTGCTGGGCTCCAGGCAGGTCCTGTCCAGGTGCTGAGCAGCAAAAGAGAAAAGTATCAATGAATGAAACATGCAGGAGTGACCCAGGGAGCACCAAACCCTCCCCAGCAATGCTCAGAGCTTGGGAAGCCACAGCTGCACCTCACAGGGAAACCAACAGCTGCTGCAGAGAGAACAGCACTGGACACAGAGTTCTCAGGGTCAGAGCACTTGATTCTCTCAACTGAACGAGTAGTTCAGCTTGAGCAACCCAAAAGAGGTTAATAAACCTCATTTCACTAATAGACAAAGGAATCCAGGGAAGTAAGAGGGATTTTTACAGCTCTGGGTATCACCTCACAGCAGCAACACAACCACCAGCACTGTCTTAAGACAAAACTAACAATTCTGAAGACCTGAATTTTGATTTTCCAGGCTCAAACAAGCCCATTGCTCACACAGTCCTGCAG